AAAATCAGAGCAAACGGAGATGGTTAGGTGGTCCCGAACCGAGGCACACGACCTGACGGCCGGAAAACCGGAAACCGGGCTCCGAAATGGGCAAAATGGCCTACGGCCACCAAATGTAGCTACGGACATTGAGAGATGGTCTACCAGACCTCTCCCTCCCTCAGGAAAAGAAACCGAGAAAATTGAGTCTGGTTCGCAAACCGAGACAAGGCACAGAAGAGGGTTCGGAAGTCCGGAGGCAGGGCTCACGGCCGCAACTCTGAAACTTCTGAACGAGCACATTAAACAACATCACCAATCGCTCAATCAGTGACGTCTGAGTCTTAAGGTCGGTCAAAAATGGGGTGTCTACAACGAGGCATTACATGGCAACCTGGATCACCCTTTCGTCTGGGAATAGGGTCTAGGCGGTCTTCGCCTTCACCGAACTCCCAATTACCTCGAACATTGACCATTACATCGTCAACTCTCTTACCAGAACTGGCAAGCATGGTTATCAAGTTATGGTCAGTGTCCTTGGCCCTGAGAAAGTATCGCCCCAGCCGACCGGAAGATTTGGCCAAAGCGTAGCAGTGACGAATCATCGGAATGCCAAGATTGATCCTAAGGCGTCGGTTCAACTCTATCACTCCCATGATGATTCGAAAGAAATTTACGTTGGGTTGAGAAGGAATTAGACTCTAATAGCGAAGGATGGCCCTAAGCAATGGATGTAGGGGAAAACAGACTCCGCCCTCCACTATGGATAAGAGAGGGAAAACGATCGTATTTTGATCCTCCCTCTCCATATCAAGAGTACTGTCCGTTACAAGAGATAAGTGGACATCGTCGGGAACGGAAAAGTGTCGCCGGAATCCGAAATACGACCCTCAGAAAGGAGGTCTTTCATGTGTTTAGCCATTTTCACGAGGATTCAAGGTTCCGCCAAAATCGAAATGACAAACAGAAAATAGGATTGCAAAGAAGAGAGAAGAAGACTTACGAGAAGTAAACGGGGCAAGGATAGACGGAGAAGAGTTACAGAAAATGCGAGTCAGAGAAGATATACCTGCTGGCGGTCCAAGAGTCTCGAATACACGACGAAATATGCACTCGAAAGGACTGAAATTTCAAATCGCAATAAATGCGAGACGCACGAATGAGGCGGGAAAATGTAATGATGACCGAAAAGGTGTGCGCATTCTGACATCTGTATCGGAGTACGCGAAGCCGCCTGACCTATTTTGACTTTTCCAATTCAAGACCAAACATGCTGATTAACTACCGTTAATGGGGAGTGCGGGGGGCAATTGTGGGAGCCGAATGATGGCAAAATCAGAAGGTGCGTACCTTAGAAGACTGATGGTTAATCAGCTGTATCCTACGAGAATGGGAAGCCGAATATAATATATGTGCCGAATAAGTGTAGATCCTTAGAGCCGAATAAGAGAAAGGACAATGATTAAAAAGTAGGCCCTGGCCCCGAGGGTCAAAAGGGACAGGTATAAATTTTCTTCACTAAGATTAGCTGTTTTTTTATATTAAAATGGTCACAGCTTCTCTCTAGTTTAAAATCAGATTGGACGATATTATTAGGTCATGGTGGGCCCGATTTGAGTCCATCTTGATGATCCAAACTGTTTCAATGTGTAAAGCTTATCGAGTACATAATTCCTATAAAAAATCATGTTGATTGGATATGGATAAACATTCGATCAGATTGCATTTGTTTCAACGACAATTATGATTTTAAAATAAATCACAAACACAAATGCAAATTAATCAAGTAATTATTGATGTCTGATTAATGTGATTTTCTCAAGGATGATGTATTTGATGAACTCTACATATTCAATAGTTTTATTATCGAGATGGACGTAGAATTGAGCCTACCGTAGTCCAACAACACCATCCTATCCCATTTTCGGACATGAGAGGAGTTGTACCCTTTAAAAAAAATAGTTATATGCTATTATTGATCCATTTCTATGGCATTTCAATGAAATCATCCTAATTGTTTTGCCCCTTCTACATAGTGTTGGTCCCTATTAATTGTGTATATTAGGAGGGGTAAAACTTAATACATTTACACTAACATGACTAGTCTCAAACTCAAACCGTGTCATTCTTGAAAAGTTAAGACTATATTTGGTTTGCCTTTGAAATCATTATTCTAAAGGTGAAATTTTTAAATTACTTTTCTGTAGGAAATGGTTGGAAAAATTCTAGGTAAAACAGAATTTTTTCCTATCTTTGGTCAATTATTTAGGTGGGACCCGTACGCCAAAGTTGGCGGGTCGAAAAGGTAACACGTTCTATGTCGCATTGTGATTCACGTGGTATATTTGGTTGCTCAAAACCATTATCGAGTGAATGGGAAATTGAAGCCAAATTGTGCTCCATGGAAATGGAATTTTGGTGGAAATTCCTTAAGGTTGAAAAATGGCTTGTCCCGCATTGATTTGGTAGGAAGTCTTGAATGGGTTTATAAGGCATGGGATTGAAACTTGGGGTGTGCCCCAAGGGGTATCCAAGTTTTGTAGAGAGTGAGGTTATGGGCAAAATGAGCTAGACCCATTGAACCCAAAAATAACCACATGCATGCGCACCACCGCCCTCCGTCCGGTCGGTCAAGCTGGCTTGGCGCGCGAGTGCGTGATGTGAGGTTGGGTTGGGCTTATCCGGGCCAATACTAATCTTTTTTGGCCAAAAACATTTGAATATAATTTTATTTTTGATAAATAAAATTTATTTGAATTCAAATTATTTTGCACCTCTTCAAATTTTGTGCAGTTTAATTCAAATTTGTCTAGAATTTATCTGTCCGAAGCAAATTCAAATTTGTGCAACAGATTTGGTTCTTGTTCAAAATTCAAAACCGTAGAGATTAAAACATGTTCAAACAGTGCCGAACAGGTACAGTATCTGTTCAAAACAGATTGCTACCTGTTGGATTCAAATTGAAAAGCCACCAATCCTTATATAAATAGACCAGCTCTCATTTGATGTTTAATTCCAATTTTTTGTCCATCCTTGCTGCAATATCATCCTTGCATTTTGCTGCATTTATTCTATTATTTTTCTGTGAGAAAGAGTATATACACTTAAGTGTGTTCGTTGAACAAATAAATTGTAATGCTGCATTTATTTATTTATTGATCATTTTATCCTGGGAGATAGACATCCATATTCTGAAAGCACCAAGGAGATGACGAATCTGTTTTAAGGACACAGTGTCGAACACTAGACTTGATCAGATAATTATTCGAATAAATTAATCAAGTAAGTTGTTTAATTTATTTTTCTATTTTATTTGTGTATTTAAATCAGATTTTAATTTTGTTTTAGTAACAAAATAAAATCTGTTTTTATTTATTTAATTTTTTATTTCTAGTTTGATTTTTATAATCAAGCATTCTCTCTCCTTTCCTTTATTTCTTTTATATTTTGTTTGTTGTTTAGTACATAACAGAATTTATTTTTCAAATACAATGAAGATTGTCCAACATTTTCAAGATTCATAATCAGACACACAGCTCAAAATTATTCAAAACTCAATTCAAAAATTAATTTCAAAATTTATAACCAAAAACACAACTCAAAACTCTTTTCAAAACTCTTTTGATGATATAGTGTTGAAGATGGTTAGTGATAGGATTCTTAAATTATTTTTTATAAAAAATCTAAAAAAAATAATTTCTACATTTAAAAAAAGTGTTGAAGATGGTTACTGATGGGATTTTTAAATTATTTTTATAAAAAATCTATAAAAAAGCAATTTCTATATTTAAAAAATATCTAAAACATATATATATATATATATTTTCAAATAACCGGTTGCAATTGCCAAAAAAAAAAATTTGCACTATCCCGGTCAACTGGCCAGACGACCGGAAGGATGTCCGGGCGGACGACCAAGTAGACCCAATCCACTCTTTTTAAAATTTAAAATTCAAAAATTCCTTTCAAAACTCATAACCAAACAAATTTTCTCTTTTCAAAACTTAACTCATAATTCGACACTCAAATCGCAACTCCAAAAAAATAATCACAATTCCAAAACTAAATCAAACGCAACCTAAATTTTTTACTTGCGCCTAGCAAAGCCATTTTATTAATTGAATATTGTTAAAAATAACAATTAAGACTACTGTTAGTATTTGAAAATATGTTGAAAAACATATAAAAAAAATATTTTGAGATATGTAAAATGTATATTAGGAATATAAATATTTCGACATTATGTGATTCTTATTATTAGCCCTTAGGTCCGTCATTAGTAGAATCCTTATTGATTTTATTTTTATTTTTTTTATCCACATGTTATGTAAATCTATGCAACAAATGATATATGTATATTTTTAAAACATGTGTTCCACCAAGCAAAAAAAAAAATTTAAAAAGAACATGGGTTCCAAATGCAAGAGAGAAATAGTTATTAGATTGCTCTTTGTTAACTAAGTTAATTGTGGAAGTAAATTGTGCTAGTTAAGATGAACAGTTTCATCAAGCAATGTCTAAGATGGAAGCCAGATTTAACTAAATAAACAACAAAGTTCTCACTGCTATTTATTTGGACAAAATTAACAACACTCGCGAAAAGGAAAAATACACAAATGAACAGGACAACAGTGATAAATACGAAAATACCATACAACTAAACTTCAAGCTAAACAACAATAACAATTACTCAAATCAAAACAGACCACCTAATTTTTCCTTGGTAATCTGATCTAGGCACTCTGTCATTTGAGTTGTTAGATAGTTCTTCCAATCCCCAACCTTGCCTTTCCTAAAGAACACATCATTCTTGGCACTGACATCTGCTGCTCCATTTTTGTTCACTTCCAAATCGCTCAAGCTCTCAAAAATACACAGTTCTACAATTTCTTGCACAACCCCTTTACTCTCTTCCTCTAAAGAGAAAGTTCGTCCCAAAAACTCGGCCAATCTTTTTACATGAAACAGTGTCTCCCTTTTCATGTCCTCATATTTTAAGAACAAAACTGTCTCAGGACATTTCAAACTTGCTTTCCAATACTCCTGAACATGATCCAGAAGGGTCCATATCCAGAGATCCCTTTGCAAAATAAGTCAAATGCCTCTTCTAGAGAGAGGGGTGAACATGATAGCTCCTTAGTTGTCAACCTAGCCATGAAGTGCCACATAGAGACAAACACATCTTTCGGGTTTCGACAAATGTACACTATTTTACAACCAGAACTTAGAACAGACTTAGGCAACAAAGTACAAGGGATATGGGTAGCAAGGAGGCGAGGTGAGGGCATAATCTCAACATCTCCAATGGGGGGTGCCCTAAAAATCTTAATCTCTAAGAAAGGAACACAATCATGAGGGTTAGTGGTAACTAGAGGGTGAGTAACAGACATATTGTTGTGATAGGTTCTGTTCATGATTGCAAAAACAATGGCTTTGAGCCATACTGTGCCAGATTTTGGTGTGGAGATCAAGAGAACATCAGTGGGTTGAGCCTTGAAACATTGTTGAATAAACATAATACCTTCTAGGGTATACACGGGGAACCAAAAGCCTTGGTGTAGACAAAGATGCTCTGTTAGCCAGCCTTTTTCATTTGGAAGGGTTGAGATTATCTCTCTATTTCTTTGGTAGATTCTCTCTACCTTTTTGATTTCCTCATCCTTCTGATATTCTACGTTGTCCGTTTTGCTCAAGGAAGAACTTTGGGAAGGAGGAAAGATAGCCATAACTAGATAAGAACTTGCTTTATTGTAGAGGTAGAATCTCTACTTAAGATATATCAAAAGCTAAAGGACTTGTTTTATGATAAAGAAATATCACAACACTCACAAAAGGAAAAGAAGAGCAAGAAAGGCTTACAATGGTAGGAGAGGGGTTATTACAAAGGAATGAAGTGTGGAATGGAGGAAGTGTGGAATGGAGATAATGAGCATGCCTCTCCTGAAGAAAAGCCTTCCTATTTATAAGATTGTTTTCAAATACAAACAAAACTAATGCAAAAGATTCAGAAGTTTGGATAATACTTAAAATGTTATAAGTTGTTAAAAAAATCAAAAAGTCAAAGAATTATATAAAAAAGTCAAAAAAAAAAAATTTCTCTACTTTTTACACTTTTTTTCATAAAAAGTTAAAAAAATATTCAAAACATACTAATTTTTTCACCTCATATTTTTAGCCAACAAATTAAAAAGTTACTAAGCCTCCGTTTGGGAAGTGGGTTGGCTTTTTGGCTTTTTGGCTTTTTTTGCTATTTTAGCCTGGGGCTAAAAAGCCTGGTTTGGGAAGGACTTTTTGGCTTTTTTGGCTTTTTGGCTTTTTGGTGAGGTGTCATCTTGTTAAATGACGAAATTGCCCTTCTCTATTTTTTTTTATTTTTTTATTTGGGTTTGGATTTGGCAGATTTTCGGGTTTTTTTTTTTTTTTTTTTTTTTTTTTTTTTTTTTCTTTTTTAGTGGAGGCCGAGAGAGTGAGAGAGATAGAGAGAGCCCCCCCCTGTTTTGTTTTCTCTTTTCTTCTTTATTCTCCTCAAGAGAGAGAGAGATTGTGAGGTCCCCCTCTCTCCCGTCTGTACTGTCTTCTCCCCCTGTATCAACCGTGTGTCTGTGTATGTGCTAGCCGTGGGGGTCATCAGTGCATGTGGATGTAAAGGTGTGTATCTTCATCTCCCTTGAGTGGTGTTGGGTCTCCTCTTTTAGAGAGAGAGAGTGTGATTCTGGAGGGTGCGTTCGAGAGAAGGGTGGGTGATGTGTGTGAGCGATTAGAGGAGGAGTGAAGGTCGAGAGAGAGACGTTGGCTGGTGGGTTTGATGAGCCGTTGGTGTCCCGGTGGTGGTCAGTGGACGCAGAGATTAGCCTCTATGGTATATGCATGTGCATGCCGAGGTTGGAGAGTGAGAGAGAAGATGTTGAATATTGGCTACAGATTCTGGCCATGTGATGGAAAGTGGCAGCCAGCTACATGGTGGGGAAGCCATGAGGCCATGTGAGTTGGCCATGAGGCCATGAGAAGCCATGTGAAGCATCAATCTGGAAAGCCACCGAAAGCACAACAATGGGCTGGCAGCCAGCTCATTTCAAAGACTTTCTCTTGCATTTGTAATCTCTATATATAGAGAAGCTAAGGAGAGTTGTAGTATAGCTGAGAGGTGTGAGCTTAGAGAGCAAAGAGAGAGAGAATTACAGAGAGTGTTGTAATTCTTACCATTTTGTTCAATATAGTGAATCCGCTGCCCGTGGACGTAGGCGACTTGCCGAACCACGTTAAATCTTGTGTGTTATTGCTTGTTTGAGTTCCCTGGTGTGCCCCCGATCCGCAACAGTATAAGGGATATGGGTAGCAAGGAGGCGAGGTGAGGGCATAATCTCAACATCTCCAATGGGGGGTGCCCTAAAAATCTTCATCTCTAAGAAAGGAACACAATCATGAGGGTTAGTGGTAACTAGAGGGTGAGTAACAGACATATTGTTGTGATAGGTTCTGTTCATGATTGCAAAAACAATGGCTTTGAGCCATACTGTGCCAGATTTTGGTGTGGAGATCAAGAGAACATCAGTGGGTTGAGCCTTGAAACATTGTTGAATAAACATAATACCTTCTAGGGTATACACGGGGAACCAAAAGCCTTGGTGTAGACAAAGATGCTCTGTTAACCAGCCTTTTTCGTTTGGAAGGGTTGAGATTATCTCTCTATTTCTTTGGTAGATTCTCTCTACCTTTTTGATTTCCTCATCCTTCTGATCTTCTACGTTGTTGGTTTTGCTCAAGGAAGAACTTTGGGAAGGAGGAAAGGTAGCCATAACTAGATAAGAACTTGCTTTATTGTAGAGGTAGAATCTCTACTTAAGATATATCAAAAGCTAAAGGACTTGTTTTACGATAAAGAAATATCACAACACTTACAAAAGGAAAAGAAGAGCAAGAAAGGCTTACAATGGTAGGAGAGAGGTTATTACAAAGGAATGAAGTGTGGAATGGAGATAATGAACATGCCTCTCCTGAAGAAAAGCCTTCCTATTTATAAGATTGTTTTCAAATACAAACAAAACTAATGCAAAAGATTCAGAAGTTTGGATAACACTTAAAATGTTATAAAGTTGTTAAAAAATAAAAAAGTCAAAGAATTATATAAAAAAGTCAAAAAATTTCTTTTTTCTCTACTTTTTATACGTTTTTTTCATAAAAAATCAAAAAATTATTCAAAACATACTAATTTTTTCACCTCATATTTTTAGCCAACAAATTAAAAAGTTACTAAAATAGTTTATTCCTAAAACAACCGGAAGTCTTGAGAAAATATTGTACAAATTAAACCAACATGAATCTAATTGGAAAGTATTAAATTATTTTATTTGGAGAGTACTTTGAACGGAGCTCATAAGATCTTTGCAAATCCTAAAATGATTGAATGGTCATTGTTTTTCTTTTAATTCACATAATATTTAACTTATTTTTATCAATAATTCTTTAGTTATATGGATGAAAATTTGATATTTTCATTTTTTTTATACTAAAATACATAATTTATCTTATTTATTATTGAATTTTTACATCATGTGCATTATTCACAGTCCCTTTATCCTTATTAATTGAGAGATCAGTGTAATTATATTAAAATTGTTAAACTTCTTATATTTTCTTCACACATTAAAGATTTGTGTAATTTACCCCTAAAATTTTGTTTTTTCAATGTCACAAAACATAGTTCTAAACAAAGGGCAATTACGAAACCAACTACCCTAGAGTTAATGCACTTGCTTATTCAAATAGAATAATACTATATGCACCGATTAATATAAACATTAGTGTACTATTAGATGATGTGACATCATTTGTATGATTTTGAGTATTTGTAACTTGTATAATAAATGCGGTCAATAATAATATTACTTTGCATTTCCAGAATTCCATGTTAATACTAACTAATTATGTGTTTCAAAAAACATGAAACATAATATTCAAAACAGAAAATGTTATTAAATAGGCACATCAACAGGTGATACACTGAAATTACCCTTGTTATTAAATAGGCACATCAACAGGTGATACACTGAAATTACCCTTGACATTGATCTAGATAACATTACAAGTAAAACAGAGTACATTACATCGACTGTTATTATTTATTTATTTATTATGCTAATTTATTTTTTTAACATAAAGTGACTTATTTTGCTAATTTGTTTTGCCTTTTTCTTTTTTTTTTTTCTTTTTTTTTTTCTGCAAAAAATGATAAATGAACATTGGGTAAATTGCTTTAACCTCTCCATCAAGGTTTAGAAAAAAATATATTGAGTTTCATATGTGTGACATAATTATATTAAGTTCTCTTAAAATTTTAATTCATGTAATTCTATTTTTATTTCTAATTTGTTAGTTGTATGAATAAAAAAAAATTAATATTTTAATTTTAGACTCACATTATGTCGGTGGAAATTATTTACCAAAAGTGAAAAAGTTTATGATTTTAATTATTAATATTTATAATATTTTTATATTTTTTATTTGTAAATATCGTCTCTTTTAGTTCACATCCCTCTCAGTTCACGCTCTTAAAAAATTATAATTTTCTCCCTCCACACGTAAGTATACACAATTATTTCAAATATACCCTTTCATGATGAAAAAAATCAAAAGTGTACACACCCTCGTTACACACACCTACTCAATCATAGAGTCTACCCATTCATAGGGGAAATTCTATCAGACCTCCATTGTTGAAACTTAATTTCATTGGAACAATTCTTTCACACCTCCATTGTTGAAAGCATTATTTAAAATTAAAATGTCACAAAGATTCAATGAAATATATTAATAGTTCATATATTTGTATAGATTTATGCTGCTATTTACATATATTTATGTATAAATAATTTTTTTTAGATGGTCATGGTTATGGTTATTGAAGGGGTAGAATACAAACAGGTTGGATCCAAGCCTTGGACCAGCCCAATCCATTAAGCCCAAACCCAAGTGGGCCAGAATAAATGAACATTGGGTAAATTGCCTTAACCTCTCCATCAAGGTTTAGAAAAAAATATATTGAGTTTCATATGTGTGACATAATTATATTAACTTCTCTTAAAATTTTGATTCATGTAATTCTGTTTTTATTTCTAATTTGTTAGTTGTATGAATAAAAAAAAAATTAATATTTTAATTTTAGACTCACATTATGTCGGTGGAAATTATTTACCAAAAGTGAAAAAGTTTATGATTTTAATTATTAATATTTCTAATATTTTTATATTTTCTATTTGTAAATATCGTCTCTTTTAGTGCACATCCCTCTCAGTTCACGCTCTTAAAAAATTATAATTTTCTCACTCCACACGTAAGTATACACAATTATTTCAAATATACCCTTTCATGATGAAAAAAATCAAAAGTGTACACACCCTCGTTACACACACCTACTCAATCATAGAGTCTACCCATTCATAGGGGAAATTCTATCAGACCTCCATTGTTGAAACTTAATTTCATTGGAACAATTCTTTCACACCTCCATTGTTGAAAGCATTATTTAAAATTAAAATGTCACAAAGATTCAATGAAATGTATTAATAGTTCATATATTTGTATAGATTTATGCTGCTATTTACATATATTTATGTATAAATAATTTTTTTTAGATGGTCATGGTTATGGTTATTGAAGGGGTAGAATACAAACAGGTTGGATCCAAGCCTTGGACCAGCCCAATCCATTAAGCCCAAACCCAAGTGGG